CCCCTTCTCCCTTTGAGACCCCCCCTGCCCCCACAAACAGGGCTCCCTCCGGTGGCTCATGGGTTATGCTTCGGTACTGGATCAGCCAAGAACCCAAAATGAGCAGCCAGGGATTTCTAAGCAACAAAATTCAACCATTTTTATTTTCTCTTTAAAGTGCTTGAAACATTTAACAAGCTGTTTTTCTTGGTAACATCCCCCCCCCCCCCCAAAAAAATTTTTAAAAAAAAAATTTTTACAAAACCATTATCACATTAAAACTATTCCCTTTGGGCACCGTATACAGGGAATGCGGACAGAAGGAAGTCCCACCATGAACTCCGGCATCACGTACACACATTTCCCAAACTTGCTCACAGGGAAAGAAGGCAAATACTGTTCTCTTCCCAAAGGACAGATGGTGACACACGCCCCGTGCCCCCGTTGGCCTTTGCCCTCGGAAGCAAGGCCCTGAGTCTCTTCTTGTCTGGGTCGGGGGAGTCAACAACAGTGAGCAGGTGGAACTGGGCCCTGACAGGGCAACAGAAGGCAGCAGACAGAGGACAACGAAAGGGGACCGTCCCCAGGAAATACTGTGCCATTGCTTAGGAGGGAGGCACGCACCGTTCACCTGGGCACGGCAGACACAGGAGGGTGGCATGCCGACCGGCCACTGAGGGCAACAGAGCAGCTGGCCTCCTGTCCTGCAGAGCTGCCAACACATTCCCCTTCCAACCCACAGACTCGGCACGAGGGAAGTGAGACGCCCGTGTGGCCTCTGTTGCCGGCTCACAACTCTTCCTTGGTAAAGCTCCCCAGCACCAAACTCTCTAAGGTCAGTTATGGCGGGTGCTGGATCCAGATCTCCACAGTGAGTGAGTCGGGTCCCTTTCGGTACAAGCAACACCTTCCTCAAAGGTCGACAAGACCCTGAGAGACAAGGGGAGTTGGAACAAGAAGGAGAAGCAGGAAACAAAGGCACCAAACCCCATCTCTCTCTTCCACAGGGGTGGCGTTCCTAACTCCGAGACCTGCAGCGCCCGGCAGAGGTCAGCCAATATTCCCTCAACGAACATGGACGGATGAGCAGAAGGGGCCTGCCGCCTCCAGCGCTCCACGACCGGCAGCTCTGCCATCTCGACCGCTTCAACACCTGGACTCCCCACCCTCCGCCTGGCCACATGGAAGCAAGCCACAAGGTGGAAACTCTCGTGTGCTCCCACCAGTCTTACGTCTTACTCAAACTGATGCTTGAGCCTTGGAAAGTGGCAGGAACACCAGCTGTGGCTGAGAACGGTGGCTGCCGTGGGAGGCAGGAGGCCCGGGGGATGGCTGAGCAAAGGAAGCGGAGGAGATAACTGTTTCCTGCCCGCTCTGGATCGCTCCGGGCAGGTGAGCCTGGTGAAGGTGACAAACAGCAGCCATGGCTCCTGGGCGGAAAGCTGTGGCCAGTGGCCGAGGGCTGGACAACAGAGTCCCACCAGAGGGCCAGGCCCCAGGGCAGCAGGCAGCCCCACACAGGGAACAGAATCCCAGCCCCCAAAGGGCCTCTCGCCCTGCTGCAGACGGATTGCAGGCTGCCCGCAAGTCCCAGACAGCTGCACTTCCCCCCCACCAGATCAGACAGCAAGGGGGGGGGGAAGCAAACACCAGGGTGGAGCTGGGTGGGAAAGGCAGGCAGGCAGCCCGCTGACCCTCCCCTCAGCCAGACCCCCAGGTGGGATTCTGCAGGGCCACAGAGCAGAAAGAGACGTCTACGGTTGACCAAGAAGAAAGAGCCGGCTGCTCTTCCTTTGAGGAACACAAAGGCACTCTTTTCTTGAGCATCGCTGCCCGGGGTGGAATTGGGGTGTGTGTGTGAGAGCTCAGCGAGGGCTGGGGGCTCACGGGTGCTTCCTCCACGGCAGCTTGCACCAGCCTCAGAGCATCATGGGACAAAGTGGAACGTCTGGAGGACAACAAGGGATTCAAGGTGGACTGTCCCCCCAGGATGGAGAGAGAGGGGCACCCGTCAGCAGTGCAAGCGCAAACCACGGCGACCCACCCCGGGCCCCTGATGGCAGGGTCAAGGGCAGCCAAGCAGCAAGACCCCCAGGGGGGAGACCAAGGAGGAGCTGGCTGCCTGGCTGCCTCAACGTGACACCAGCAAACCTGCCAGCCGCAGGGAGCGTGGCCCCCGCTCCCACCCTGCTAGAAAGAGGGGGGGGGAGAGGGCTTCTTGCACACAAACTCTGCTGGACCCACTGCCCATCCAAGCGGTGACCTTCCCTCAGCAGCAGAGGAGCGGGGTTACTGAGATCAAGCAGTCACAGACCCAGCCGGGCAGGAGGGGAATCGCCACGCCGGGCACAAGGGCGCTGCGGTGGCACAGTGATTGACCAGAAAGCTTGCCAAGAGCAGCCCAGCCCCCCCCCCCAGAAACAGAACCACGCTTAGCGCCGGGCTGGGGCTCAGCACCCAATCAAGTCCAGGTTCCCCCTGAGGAGCTTTGGCATCTTGGGAGAAAAATCGACTCCTCTGCTGGAGAGCCCGACATGGTGGACGTAAGGTCAGAGACCGTCGACAGCCAGAGGGTCAGAAAGTGCAGAGCCCTCTGCGAGACCCCTACCACCACCAACCCCCGCCTGCTTCAGGCTACGGGGCGAGGCAGGGGGGAAGGGGGGGTGTCACTTGGCCGCCCTGGCCCCCCCGCCCAGGGGGATCTGCAGCAGGGTGGGCGACTGCTCCATGATGCGCACCAGCAGCCGGTCGATGTAGTTCTCCAGCTCCCGGATGTGCTCCTGTTTCTTCCCCAGCTCCGCCTCCCGCTTCAGCAGCAGCTGGATCAGCTCGTCGTGTGTCAGGTGGTAGTACTTGGCCGAGCAGTCCGGCAGGGAAGGCTCCTCCTGCGGAGAGGGAGACTGCGGTGAGGCACGGGCAGGTATGGCATCCAAATGTGGCTCACGTGGGGAAAGGACAGGGAAAGACCCTCACAACCCCCTACCTGCCCAGCAGTGGGGTGTTACAAAGCCCTGGGAAATGGGACAAGGTGGCCTTTGAGCCTGCACAATGGTGCCCCCCCTCCCCACGCACACACACGTGCCCCCACTTCTAAAGAAACCTACTCTGGACCCAGGAGACCGGACAGCGGCCATCCCGTCTCACATGTACCGTTCCTGAGCCAGGTAACTGAACACAGGGTTGGCTGGGCAACTTCAGGGATTCCTGGACGAAGCGGATGGTTTGGATCCTTGGCCCTCTGGTTTATTTATTATTTATTGATTTGATTTGATTTGTACCCCGCCCTGCCCGCCAAGGGAGGCTCAGGGCAGTTTCAGGCCCAGTTGCCAGACGGAAACGGCCTGTGGGTGACCCATGGAGGACAGGGAGTACGACGCGATCAGTTCTTTCTTGGCTTCTCAGCAGCTTTCGATACCATCAGTCATGGTATCCTTCTGAACAAAGTTCGAATCTTCAGATGCAATGAAATGGGATAGCAGATTGTACTGTAATGTAATGTACAGTAGAATGTAATATAATTCGGAATGATAGATGGGAACGTATTTCTCTGGTCTGGGGGCAGGGGAGATAACCTCACACAGCCAATCGCCCCATTTTGTTTGTAAGCCACTCGGAGACTCCGCGTGAAGGGCAGGGTATAAATCCAATCCCTTCCCTTCTTCTCTGTCTCGTGATTCCAGCCTATCCCAGGAAGGCTGCAGACACTCTGACCAGGTGCCCAGAGGCAGTTTTGGGATGGATGAAGCCCAGCCAGCTGAAACTTAATCCTAGGCGGGGGGGGGGGGGGGGGCGCCGGGATATCTCCTGTTCTGGACAGGGTTGCACTCCCCCCTCCCCCAAAGGAGCAGGCTCGTAGCTTAAGGGTGCTGCTGCTGGACCCAGGCCTCCTGCTGGCAGCTTCTGCCGGTGAGCCTCCTGCAACCCTTCCGGCCAGAAATGATCTTGCCACTGTGGGTGCATGCCCTGGTAACATCTAGCCTAGACCAGCACCCTGCTCTCTACGTGGGGCTGGCTTTGAAGACTGTCCAGAAACTGCACTGGTACAGAATGCTGACTTGAATGGGTCAGAGGGGCGAGATCACTCCGGCCTCCTTCCATCTAAAACGGCTCCCAATTCGCTTCTGGGCTCCAGTCAAGGTGCTGGCGTTGACCTGTACAGTCCTGCCGCCTCCTCCCATACAAACGTCCCCGCTCAGTCCGGTTATCCTTGGAGGCCCTGCTTTGGGCGTGGCACCAAAACTCTGGAACCCCAGGAAGATTCGCCTGTCTCCCTCTCATGCTCTGAGGGAGACTTTGTTTTGCTCGGCGTTCCCTCACTAAGTCTTGCAACAGCCCTCCTCCCTGGTTGCATGCGTGTTCCTAATGCATTTATGTCATGTTTTTCTTAACTGTATAAAAACCATTTAAAATACATACATATATATACACATAAAGGTAAAGGTTCCCTTGCTCGAAAGCCAGTCGAGTCCGACTCTAGGGTTGCGGTGCTCATCTCCGTTTCCAAGCCGAAGAGCCAGCGCTGTCCGAAGACGTTTCTGTGGTCATGTGGCCGGCATGACTAAACACCGAGGCGCACGGAACGCTGTTACCTTTCCCACCGAAGAGGTCCCTATTTATCTACTTGCAATTTCTTGCTTTCAAACTGCTAGGTTGGCAGGAGCTGGAACCAGAGATGGGAGCTCACTCCATCATGCGGCACCCGGGTCTCGAACCGCTGAACTACAGACCTTTCACAGCCTGCAGTTCAACATCTTAACCACTTGAGCCACCGCAGCTCCGATATATACACATACCTATATATATATGTATGTTTTTTTGCTTTAATATTTGCCACCGGAGGGACCCTGAACTGGGTGGAAAGGCGGCACAGAAATGTTTTCAATAAACACACCGGCCGTGCCAGCTGCCCCCCGGGGGTCAGGGGCCTGCGGAAGCACGGGAGGGGGGGGTCTCTGGGGTGGGGGGGGTCTTGTCCCTTTGGGGCTGGGGCGCCAAGGCCACCTGGGACCCCTGCCTTACGCAGCCCAACGTTTCAACCCCCTTTTACCCTTTTCAGGTCTGTCTTTTCCAGCGGCAGAATGGGAGGAGCCGAATCGTGGCTGCTGGCGGGCTTTGGCTTCAGCTTTTCCTGGCTGAGGGGCAGGCTGGACCGGCGCTGCTTCTCCACGGGCCTTGAAGTACTGATGGGCTTCACCAGGTGTGGGCTGCGAGGAACCAGAAGAAAGCAACGGCATTAGGGGAGGAGAGGGGCAGGGGAGAAGCAGAGGCCAGGAGAGAAGGGCGCGGGCCCCACACTGTAGAAAGGCCCACTGCACATTTGTTTGTTTATTGTCAATTTTATATCCCGCCCTCCCCACAAAGCAGGCTCAGGGCGGCTTCCAATAATATAAATACAAAATTAAAACATACATGATACATAATTAAAACACCACAGTTAAAATAATACATTACAAAATCACACATTACAAAGTGCTGGCAGCAGTTAAATTCATGATCCTACCAGCACATACCAAGCTACTTGTAGGACCCCTGAGGCAGCTAGAATTCCAAGCAGCGGAGTTTAAGCCCCACAAACATCTCCACTGCAGAGGACAGGCCTAGATCCACTGGGTGTAAGTTGTAGCAGGAGAGAAACTTCCTAACACTGACTGTAGTTTTGACAATGGAACTAATGGGGGGGGGCAGGCAGGCTCTCCCTTTGTTGGGTGTTACATGTTAAAAACACTCAGTATATATGGGGTTAAATGTATGTTTGTGTTGCTCACAGGAAATCACATGTTTCATTTAGCCAATGGTAGTTTAGGACTAAAAGCCCGGGAAAACCATCCCTGATCTAGGAGTTTCATTGGAAGCAAAGTGTCAAAGTATTTTAGCATTTTATGGCTCCTCTTCCCGTCTTTGTGTTCTGTTCTGAAGAAGTAAGAGAAGCCATTGCTAGCTCTTCTAGTCTAGCCGTTGTAGTGTAAAGATGTAGCTGATTAGCTCTGTTGTTATTTTCATCCCAGTTACCCTTTCCCTATGCTAAGATGTAGTAAAACTTTTCTATTTTAAACACACATGGATTCTGACTCTTAATTATTTTAATCTGGCAATGCTATTTTAACTCTGCTGAATTACAATTTTAAAACTCCAACACCCTTGTTGGAGGTCCTTCAAGGAGGTTGGACCAGCACCTTCTGGGAATGCTCTTGCTCCGGATTTCCTGCATTTGTACATTTCCACAGGGCCTGCAAGACAGAACTCTTCCACCAGGCTTACATCTGGAAGCCGCCCACCAGTACCACCAACTATCACCATCACGGACATCTGTGGGGGTGGGATGGCCCTGGACTGAGATTGAGCCACAGCTCCGCGGGAGACCGATATACCGCTGAGTTGGGACTGCGAGATTACACCCAACAGTACGCCACCTTAGTCTACTGAAGAATGTCAACTGTGAGCACTTTAATTTTAACTGGTTGTAAGATTTTAACCTGTTTTCAAATGTTTTATGTTGACTGGGCAACACTGTGTCGGTAAATGTGAGCCGCCCTGAGCCTGTCAAGGGAGGGCGGGATATAAATACGATAAAATAAATAAATAACCTGGGCAGGGCCTTGACCTTGGTAGCCCCTTCCAGCTCCAGGACTGCACAGGATGAAGGGTCCAGCACAACTCTTAGCAAAGAAGAGACTAAGGAGCGGGGGGGGGGGCACGTCAGCAGCCGAGTCGGAAGGGAGGTTTGCCCTGGGCGGGAACAGGCCCAGCCAGGCCTAGCACCTGGGGACGACGTCCAATGTTCCCTCTAAGTTGCGGAGACTTGTAAGCAAAAATTCTACTTTGCGAGCTCCTGGCATTAAAGTTGTGAGCAAGCGATTTGGCTACTGCATAAATCAGTTTGCCCTGGAGCCATCCTTCCTGAGCTAAGACAAAAATTTGTGAGCTGGAGGCTAAAAAACTGAGCTGGCTCACACTAACTCAGCTTAGAGGGAACACTGACGACGTCCTTCAGAGACGTCTGGAAAGGCAGGTTGCAGTCTACAGAGGCAGCCGAATTAACAGGCACACTCAAAATGTGCCAGCTTTGGCTGGGGTAGAGATCCACAAAATATATAAATAAAACCCATGGGTCGCCCACTCCTTGCTCCAGCCATGCAGTACCAAGAGGCCCACCGGTCTTTAGAATACACACTGCCCAAAGTAAAACCTGGGGAGAAAGAAGACCAGAAGCCCAAAGTGGCTACCACACGGGCTGGAAAACCAGAATTTCCCCACTTTACTGCAATCCTTCCCAGATTTCAGAGCAAAGGTGGTTTGTGATGATGCGGTGGGGAAGCACAAAAAGAAGGCCGCTTCCCAAAGGCATTGAGCTTGGAACAGAGTCTGTTTCAGCCAGTTATGGTCAACAGAGGCCAGACTGGTTAGCTGACTGCCTCTTGCTCTGAGAGCACAGCGTGGCGACCGTTCCACACGTGGGTGCTGGCTTGACAGGGACTGCAGACGGAGGACGGAGGCAGCTGCCTCTCCCCCCCCCCCCCCCCCGCGCCCTTTTTTTTTGGAAATCCAGCTTGGAAGAGTTCTGAGAGACCCAAAAGCTTGTAGATTTCTTGTGCCAAACGCTGGTCCTTGCGAAAGCTGTGCCCTGGATCACGTTCTCGGTTTGGGAGCTTTCTGTCAAGGCTCTTCTCTCTTTGCATCGGAGCCTCACAGGAAGCGGGATCCTGCAGCCTGACTGGACTCGGACACTTTGCCCTTTCGTTTCATCTGCACCTGAAGGAGGTACTTCTGGCTCAGGGAAGCACCTGCTGCAATCAGCTTGGCTGGCTTTAAAGGTGCCGCTTGATCCCTGTGGGTGGCAAAGGTCTCCCAGAAGAGCTTTCCCGCCAACACGGAGGCGGACTCCCCTGGCCTGCCCCCCCCCACCGGCAAGCTGTCTTGCTGCCCCCAGGCCAAAGGCTGGGGCCCCTCCGGCATCTTTCTGCAGGATACCACACCTGTGAGAGTGTCTCCCACAGAAGCAGACCTTCTGGCCCATCAAGGTCTCAGGAGGACTGCCAGTTTGCCAGTTTGGTATAGCAGTTAAGGGCGCAGACTCTAATCTGGGAGCACTGGGTCTGATTCCCCACTCCTCCACTTGCATCTGCTGGATGACCTTGGGCAAGCCATGGTTCTGATAAGAGCTGTCCTTGAAAATGAGCAGTTTCTGTCAGAGCTCTCTCAGCCCCACCGACCTCACAGGGGGTGTCTGTTGTGGGGAGGGGGAGGGAGAGGAGTTTGTAAGCTGCTCTGAGACACTTTGGGTACTGAAGGGCCATGGGGTATAAATCCAAACTCTGCTTCTTCTACTACTACTTGGACTGGCAGCGGCTCTCCAGGGTCTCCAGCCTACTGGCCTGCCTTTGAGAGGGCAGGATGTGAGGAGCCAGGCCGGTTGGAGGGCAGAAGCGATTCTGGAGCTCAGAGCCTTAGCAGTGGCAAAGTCGCCCATCTCAAATCATCATGTCACTCCCCACCACCACCTTTGCTCTCCATGGGAAAGAGCTGCCGTTGCTGGGGGCAGGAGCGATGTGGCAGCCACCTCTGGACTGAGCGCCGGGCCAAACATCAGCTCAAGATGGCCACAGGGGGCGGACTAAAGGCCAGCACAGGACAGGACGGGAAAAGGGGGGGGCTGCCCTGCCTGTGGGGCCAGGCGCGGCTGGCAGCTCCGAGGCTCCTTTCCCGGAGGCTCCTTTCCCGGACGGGGCTTTGAGCGGAGGTCTGCTTTGCAAGGGCCCCCCCTGCTGGCATCTGATGTGCTTCCAGAACAATTAGGAACATTCAATTAACACAGCAGACTAATCTAGACAGGAGCCAAGCAATGTTCCCTCTAAGCTGTGGAGTCTTGGGAGCAAAAGTTCTACTTTGTGAGCTACCAGCATTAAAGTTGTGAGCGAGCGGTTTGGCAGCTGCATAAATTAGTTTGCTCTGGAGCCCCATCCTTCCTGAGCTAAGGCAAAAGTGTGTGAGCCAGAGGCTAAAAAACTGTGAGCTAGCTCACACTAACTCAGCTTAGAGGGAACACTGGAGCCAAGTCGCTCGCTCCGCAGCTTTAATGCCAGGAGCTCACAAAATAGAATTTTTGCTCACAAGGCTCCACAGCTTAGAGGGAGGAGCATTGCCAGGAGTCTCATCCACAGGAGAGGTCTGCACACTCCGGTCGACAAGTCCGTCTCTTTCCCCCTGACGCACAGCACGGAAGGGAAAACCATCTTCCGGGTGTGTTGTAGGGCTATCTTTCGGCTACGCTCCTGCAGAGTGCAGGGGGTTGGACAAGATGACCTGCAAGGTCCCTTCCAACATTCTAACATCCTATGATTCTATGGAAACAAGCCTGGTCTTTACGAAGGAGGCTCCTGGGCATCTCCCCCTCGGCCAGCCTCTGCCAGGGAGGGAGGGAGGAACGCGGCAGAAGACCAAGCTGCCATCCAACTCAAGAAGCAGGTCCCCAGTGGAGTGCCACCTCTCTGCCATCCGAAGCAGGAATCCTCCATCCCAGTCCTGCAGTGCAACTCCACCAAGCCCCACAACCTTCTCCAACCGGGTGGTGAAGCCATGGCCAGGGAACAGCCGGCCCACAATGGCCCCAGTGTTCCAGTCCAAAGCTTTCCCAGTTCCAGGCATGGCCCACCAGACCAGGCCTCTGTGCGGCACAAGTGTGTGCATGTGGGGGGTGGGGGCGGAATAGGAGAATCCCGAATCTAGAGCAGCTCTTCCACCAACACAAGTTGACAGGGCTATGAAGGCCGGGGACAGAAACCAAGGGAAAGATTGCTTCCCGTTTGCTCCCCTAAAACGAGATGAAGAAAAATTGGAAGGGGGGGGGAGAGATCTCCTCTGAAAAACCTGCAAAATTATATTAATTAAAAGAGCTTTAATGCTACAAGATTGTCTTTTTTCAAAATAGCCTACTTAAAATTAAATCTGAAAACAAGCATGTTATAGCCACTGTGTTATCCCCACCACCAACCACACTGTCTCAGGTCAGAAGAACATGGGTTGGGGGGGGGGGGGTTCAGCATACTCCGCAACCTATGCACGCCCGTTTACACAGGACAGCAGGGGGTGGGCACCCCCGACCAGCCCTACCGTGTTCTGCACAGCGGCTGAACCAGCGGTCCTCACAGACACACAGAACCCCCGGCGGCTGCTCTCCTGGGAAAGCAAGGAACCGGCCGGGGGAGGG